GGGGAAGGGGGAGGGTGGGTTCCTTACAGAATATCAGTCAATAAAGGGGGCGGGTTTTCATGAAGGAGAAACAAACAGATATTTCACACTGTAGCCTGGCCAGCCTGGTGTCTGGCTGCGCGTAATCAGCAGCCAGGCGATTTGCCTCAGCCTCCCACCCCGCCATAAAGGTCTCCCCCTTACTTTCACAGAGATTGTGGAGCACGCAGCAAGCAGAAATAACAATGGGGAGATTTCTTTGGCTGAGGTCAGAGCGAGTCAATAATGAACGCCAGTGACCTTTTAAACGGCCAAATGCACATTCTACCACCATTCTGCACTTGTTTAGCCTGTAGTTAAACAGCTCCTGACTCCTGTCCAGGCTGCCTGTGTATGGCTTCATGAGCCATGGCATTAAGGGGTAGGCTGGGTCCCCAAGAATAACTATTGGCATTTCAACATCCCCTGAGACATACCCTGAAATCAGTTGAGATGGGGCAGTGTTTCTGCCCAGCCTGCAAAGAGCTGAAAATTACTAAGAGCTAGCCTACAGTGGCAATGCTAAAGCGCTGCCACAGCAGCTCTTTAACGCGGCTTGTGTGGTTGCCATGCAGTGCTGGGAGAGAGCTCTCCCAGAGCTCTAAAAAAACAACAACCCATCTCCACAAGGGACATAGCTACCCCCGCTGGGAGTGTGGTTCCCAGCTTTACAGTGCTGAAACTTGCTGTGCTCAGGGGGGTGCTTTTTCACACTCCTGAGCGAGAAAGTTGCAACCCTGTAATTGCCAGTGTAGACAAGCCCTAAGAGACTGATGTGCAGAGGTCACAGCAGAGGGGCAGGTAGCAGAAGGTGACTGATAGTCAGCTGGTGAACGAGTGGCTCGTGCAGTGGAGAGGCACAATGAGTGGCCAGCAGGGCAGCTGGGGGACAGGCACGGGGAGAGTGGTGAGCAGGTGGCCAACAGGGCGGCGGCAGAGAGGCGTGGAAAGCAGCCAGCAGGGTGGCTGGTGGAGAGGCGCGGCGAGAGCAGTGAGCAGGCGGCTGGCAGGAGCAACCGGTGAGTGGCCAGCAGGGTGGCTGGCAGAGAGGGGCAATGAGCGAATGCCCAGACAGCAGAACAAGTAAGGTACCTCTTTACCCTACCTACGGGTTGAGGGGAGGTGAACTCTGCAGACGCACCTCTGACCTCTGGGTCAGCACTGACCAAGGACAGCAACGGTGAGTGGGGTACAGAAAAGGGTCGGTCACGTGAAAGGGACTTTTGGGTTGCTGGTCTTAAGAACCTGAAGGGAAAAGGACACTGCCCAACCTACTTGGGGGTGGGTCTTTTACTGATGGTTTATGTTTATGAACCCTGTTTGCAGTGTTTCCCCAAATTAACACCTTTTATTAAAAATTTATTTTCTACACTCAGACTCTGTGCTTGCGAGTGGGGAAGTATTGCCTCTCAGAGGCAGTCTAGCACTGGTCAATGATTGGGTTTCCCAGGCCCTACCACAAATACAAATAAATAACAATATTCCCATTCCTACCTTGGGCCTCCCCTGAGACCGCCAACAGGAGTGTCAATGTAAGGGTGTAATTTTTAAAAAGGACAACTGTCCACTAGAAACTGGACTGAGACCAGCACATTCATTTCATATAAGCCAACAAGGAACCATTAGGTGGTAATAACATTCAGTCATTAGCTGATTATTAGAAAAAGTGTGTAACTTTAGGGTTCCGTTTTAGGTATTAATGTATTCAAGGCACTGCAATCTTTTGATGAACACAATATTCAACCTCTTCTTATCTGTAAAATATTTTTCTATTTAGAAAACATCAATTATACACCAATATTTGAGTGACACTGGCTAAACTCACTGGTGAAAGTTAAACAGCCAAACTGTGCTTTGTGTTGAGCAAGTTTGGTCAGATTGTTCCACTGCCTCATCATTATTTAAATAAAGGTTTCTGAATATAATTGTAAGGCTGAGGTGCTTTGCCTCCTCTCACATTTTGCCTACTTTTTCATGTTACTCTAGTTATGAATTCATGATCCTCTATAACCTGCAGCTTGTGCAAATACATGTTATTTTTGGTCAGGCATGCAAATAAAATTGGGCAATTCATCATTATGATTTATTCTGGCAAATAAGGAGCTCGAGTTACACTGCACAAATATTTGTCCAGGGATCTGTGAAAGAAATAATAATAAGCTTATGGAAAGGTATGAAAAGTAAACAAAAGCAGAATGAAAATACTGTTTTATAACGAATGCATCAGAAAGGGGTTGCATTAGAAGAGTGAATCTTGAAAGGTTCAGAATGTCTAATCAGATAAGCACACTGGCAGGTTCAGACCCCTCTATGAAGCTTATTTGAACTTGAATCTTTGAAATTTCCTTCCTTTTTCACCCCACAAAACTCCCTTCTCCAACACAGTTGGGCTAATCATGAAATACTTACACTCAGAACATTTTTAATCTCCTCTTCACAAAAAGAGGTCCCAGTCATTCAATGAGTTCCATACAGGTAGACCTTTATATCCATGTAGAATCCCACTGAAATCAGTGGAAATCTGCCAAGGGTTCTCTGCCAATTTACACATTGCAGGATTGGGATCATTTTTTCCCCCCTTAAACAGAATCACTGTTGGAATAGACCAGAATCACTGTTGGATGTCCACGTTTATACATAGCAAAGGGCCATACATTGGTAGAGTCATCTGCAATAAAAATAGGCCTGGCACACTAAATTATTATGGTTTGAAAACTTGACTTTAACTTAAATGAACTGGGTTCATGTTTTGCCTACAAGAGACTAAGTAAAACAAAAAAGAGTAGGGATATCAGAGAAGAAAAGATCCAATGAAAAATTAAACATGGGGGGGGCAGTCCCCTCAAAATTCTTTTGCATATCAGTGTCTGTTTCACTAAACTGTTCATGTCAAAACCCTGACAGTGTGCTCAAGATAATCTGCCACCCCGTCCCTCTCAGACCTCCTAGAATAGAGCTTTGAAACCAGTAGGGGAGGGCACATCTGAATTTCCTGGGGGACAGAATAAGCCTTCCGATGGTTCAGTGGTTATGGTAGAAGTGGCGGAGCCAAGTGGCAGGTCACAAAGCCACTCATTCAAGGTTGTCCCAGCCTCCCCAATGTCATGACAGATCTGGAGCACAGAGTCATAATGCCACTCAGGGCAGCAGGGGCGGCTAAGCCAAACCCAGGGAGAATCTGCCACCCCAGGCAGTTAATTCTTGAAAAGTGTGGGACTACTCCATTCATTCCTATATGGTACTAACTCAGGCTAAAACTCAAGAAACACAGCTCCTCATCTGCTAACAAAACCACTCTGTAGTGTGGACACAAACTGGTACCACTCAAGTACCATTAATCCTCCAGTGACTTCCCATAATTCCCCATGTGTGCAGGAACAACAGACAAGTCCTCCCACAATTCACTGGGAAAAATTAATAGAGTGGCTCAGCTTACTACAGCACTAAGAACTATGGGGTGTGCCCCAGAAGTCTTAGCACCACACACTAGGGGAGTGCAGCCCCAATGTGGACACAGCAACTCAAGTGTTATTTTGTAGTTTGGCCATTCTCATTTGACTTAGGTTAACTCGAGATGTAGTGTAGAGAAATTGAGTTAACACTGCACTGACGACATACCCTTCTTGCCAACTATGATAACGATGATAAAGGACCTCACACAATGTAAAAACAAGTCCTACTTTAACATATTGCTTCAGAGTCAACCTCTGTGCCACGTATTAAAGTTGATTGGAAATGCACATGTAAAACACATATCATACTAAGGAACTCAGAGAGAACTTACTTTTAGAGCAGAAAAGTAAGACTAACAAAACAATTGGAGATAATCACTTCTTGATCGCAACTATAACATGAATGCGCCATTTTTCAGTGGTGGGATGCTTATCTCTTTTCAACAGTGTGTTTCTAACTTTTTCTGTAGAGTGTCATTTGATCAAGAGATGGAAAATATTAGTCACAAAACTGACCCCGTCAGAGAATACCTAAAGGATTTCAATACAGTAAAATACTTCTTTTCAGTTCATCATTACAGAGGTCACAATAGTGTCAGAATACACAGCCTGTTTTTATCAGTGGTGCATCAGGAGCCCAATGGAACTTTTTTTTTTCATATTAACCACACACACAGTTTGCATATATATTTGCACGAAAGAAGTCAGGCAACAGCACACACAGTGTGGATACAACCAGAGTGTGACAAGACTTTTTACTTTAAAAGAAAACAGGATGGAATTTGAAAACTTGACCCCCTGGCCAAGTGCTACTACTAAATGAAACATTAAAAAGGGGGGGGACAATCCAAGAAAAAAATTGTAAGTATAAGATTATGCACGATTCTTTTCAGAATTTAAATTGAATTAGAGTATTTCCTTCAGCATAAACAGGGAATGTAGAGATAAGGGCACAGCCTTTCTGTCCAGCATATACTTCCCACACACACTTGTAAGGTCAGCCTTAGAATGGCAACAGCACCTGTTTTCTAAATATGTACAATGTGTAGACAAATGTATGACTATGTGAATCTTCTGTATTAAATTCTCAGTATATTAAGATCAATAAAACTCTATTCAATAAACTGAAGAGAGGTTAGAGTGCAATTAACTAAAACTTTTATCATAAAGGTTTCTTTATGGAGACTTCACTGTACAGTCAAAATAGCTGTATACTAAAAAAAAGTAAATAGCTTCTTTACAACCGAACATGGCATAATCTTCTCATGCTGAAATAAAAATAATGTATGTTACAGTTTCATGCAAAATAAAGGCTTAGTTCTTTGATCTATCAAAACATTTTTCTGTTTCACAGGATATTCTCTCATTATAGATAATTGTAATTACAGTCATCCCAGACTTATATTGTTTAACAAATTACTCATATCCTTTCCATCTGTGAATAGCTTTAGATCTTAGATTCATTTACTATCAGAAGTGTGATTAATTCTCAGAATGTTGTGTGACTACTTCATTCATTCATATATTGTACTAACTCAGCTAGGGTCCTGTGATTTGCCTTTTGGGTGATGAAATCTGCTGGAAATGCACAATCCTACATGCTCAGATACTTTTCATGAGTTTACGTGGAAAAGCTTTATAATAAACCAAGGAACAGATTTGGGTAATTTGCACACAACTCCTCTGAACTAAATCCACAAGTGGGGTAAGGGTGTATAGCTCCATTGTCTTCAATAGAACTATGCTGATTTATACCAGCTGAAGACTGGCCCCTTTGATAATGGTTACATTCATGTGAATTTCAACAGTATACAATACCCTTGGGCTAGTCCAGAACAAAACAAAAAGATATACCAGCGTGTATGTCTCTCTCTGCAGGTCCATATGTGGGGCAGGGCTATGAAGGAAAAGGGAAAGCTGATGAAGACGAACTGTGTAAATACTCAAGACTTGTGACTTAGCACATTTCTGTCATCACATTAATCCAAGCTAGCATATTTCATTAATCTTATCCTTAGCTTCCGAAGTGGATTATATGCATTCCAGCATTTTAAAAGCATTATCAAAGAAATGTTCATATTGTTTCTGAATGAAATTCTATAAACTGACTTGTGTGTTGATACAGTAGCTGAAAACCTACAAGTGAAATTTATTATGAACAGTAATAGTGTTGGGCTCAGATAGAGAATGAAAGTATTAGGATCAACTTTGATCACGTACTGCTTTTAATTATTGGAGATAAGCAGTGCAGGTGGGCTAAGGAGCAGAATGTCCGGGTGAGCAGTCTAGGGACTCTATTTGTAAAAACCTTTCTGAATGAGAAGCAGGATCTACAAATGGTGATGCATAAAAACCCAGAGCCACTTCCTGAATGGTGCTAAGCCCAGCTTCTAATTTTGGGCACCCAATGTTTCACAGGATGGGGCCCACCACAGACTCTCATATGATATGGCACCCAGACAGCCACACTTCTACAGAACTAAGCACTTGGAACTGCATGAGAAACGCAAACACAGTACCAAGTGGGATAAACCATTCTTTACTAAAAATACAAAATTCCAAACTGTGTAAAAAAGCTTATTGAGAGAGAGCGTGCAAGCAAGAGATTTTTTTATTGAGCACATAACATTAAAAATATTAAAGTTAAATCCAAAAACCAATCCAGGGCTGAGTGGAAACATAAAATAGAAAGAAGTTTCAATAATTCAAAAAGAGCAAAATATTTAGGGAAAAAAGTGTTTTACAAACAGCCTCACAATTGACAACGTAGGGTAAAATTCTGTCCTCATGAACTCAATGGAGTTTTGTTTTTAGTCTCAGAAAGGCCAACTGCTGAGCATGACAGAGACTGAATTACTCATTAGAAGTGACCTCTCCAGGACAGATCGGAGGCATATGGTAAGAACGGTGTGGGAATCACTACACACAGATGCCCATGAAGTGCTCTTTCTATGGACAGAGAACCTTGACCTCAAGTTTGACACAATTACCATGAGTACTAAAATACAGTGATGTAAAAGAAAGCAATAAATCAATAAAATTGAAAACCTTTGCTGCCTTGCACTTGTTTAGTCATTTACACTTATGAACAGAGGGGGCAAATGCTACCAAACCACAATGTGCACACTTTGCACAGGTGTATATGACTACATAAGCTGCTAAATAGCAAATAACCGGACTACATAATGGAAGCTTTCAAAGAATGACTGAAGTCTTTCTTATCTTCTAGATTTGCTCTGAATACAGCCATGGGCAGTCTGCCCTCAATGTAACTCCACTGGTCAACTGGCTAGCACCAGATTCTGGTATGGCATACAATGGTATAGTGTAATGCTCTACTCAAGTAAATGAAGCCACACTGTAATTTAGGGCAGCAGCAGATGTGACCTCTAATGTAGACAGCTGAAGCCACTCTTTGCACCAGTAGATCGTTCCTGGATTGAAACTAGCATAAGATGCACCAGAGTAAATCATAGTTTATTGCAGCATACCCTGTCTACATTATGAGTTGCACCAGTGCAACTACACAAATTGCTAGCACCAATGGCTGAAACTCACGCAAATCCTCAGTGCAGACAAGGCTTCAGGGGAAAAACATCAAATTCAGCTGAAACTATGGAATTCATATAATAGTGCTACAAAAAGTAATTGTATTTCTTTGCCTGTTATCTAATGTATTATCAGATGATTCAAATACCTGTAAAGGAAGAACAGAGAACAACATAGTCCTGCTTTCATGAGCTACAAATGTGTAGTTAAGCTCTAGGCCACAGTATTTGTTTAAAGTGTTTATCTTTGCTGATATATGTTCTCCAGTAAGAACAAAACAGTCTCCTTTACAATGGAGTTTTCCATACAGCAACCAAAGAAAAAATATTTGTTATCGACTGCTGCTATAAAGAATTCAACAATGTAGACTACCTTATATTTTAAAATAAAGCCATCTAGGTTATGCAAGAGTTCCACTCCAATGATCCAAAGTACAAATGTATCTGGAGATGAACATTTTTATTACAGCACAGATAAAGGCTACAGCTAAGTATTTCAAAAATGGAGTCTGAAGGTTCTAAATCTTGGCTTGTTCTTTTTTTAAAGTGTTAAGCACCCAGCAACTCCCCCTGAAGTCTGCTTTAAATTTCAGTGGGGGGTTCTGTTGAGTAAATTATTTGGGTTTTGCTTGTGGGCAATTTTTGGAGCATATACTACACACATGTAACTATGCAAAGCCATAGAGCTATGAGAATTTGAGCAGCCATCTCAAGGATACTGGCATGCATTCTCTTCGGGTTTGAGGGATAAGGCCTCATATAGTATTATCAGTCAGAGTTGTTATGGTGCTTTGCAAGTAGGCATTTTAATATCTGGTAGAAAACCTAATGGGCTAGATTCTCCGATGGTCTAAACTGATGTAGTTCCATTGATTTCAGACTCTAAGGATATGGCCTAATTATAAGAGAGGTGAGTTTAAGGATTCCACAGTTCAGAATGTCCCCTGGGGCAGTGAAACTTTGCACCATCCTTATTTTGTGTTCCAATATAAAAGCACAATTTAGCCCTAGGATAGGTGTAGGCCAATCAAGCCCTAATCTGAACCAAATTGTAGATTTAAATTACTAGACTGAAAAGAGATCTCTTTGATTATTGGTGGGGACTACAATGTAGTAATCTAATTCTAGACTGATATACACAGAAACTCATTTTAAAGAAAGACCCATTTCATAAACAACATTATCATAGAATCTCAGGGTTGGAAGAGACCTCAGGAGGTCATCTAGTCCAACCCCCTGCTCAAAGCAGGACCAATCCCCAGACAGATTTTTACCCCAGTTCCCTAAATGGCCCCCTCAAGGATTGAACTCACAACCCTGGGTTTAGCAGGCCAATGCTCAAACCGCTGAGCTATCCCTCCCCCCATATACATAAGCTTATTGAAGAATTTGGCCTTCAGAACGTATGGCATTGCTTAGAGAAGGAGGAGCTGGACAAATAAAAAAATAGAAATAAAAAAGGAGAAAACAACTTTCTTCAGTTCACAAATAATTTTCTAGAATAGATATTTCCTTAATTTCCTCATCACTACATAGTACCCATAGTTTCTGACAGGATCCATATGTCAGAATAAATTTACCAGGTCTGATCAATAATTTGGATTAATATTGACTCAGCACGTCCCAAACATTTGGAGATTCAATAATTCACTCACAAACTCAAAGTTATTCAGTTTAAATCAAAGTCTTGAGCTCTCACATACAAGATCCAAAAGCTACTGAAGCCAGTAGAGAGATTCCCATTGATTTCAATGTACTTTGAGTCAGGCCCAAAATCTCCAAAACCTCTCCAGGCATATTTATAGGGTGTCCCTCAAAACATTTTGAGAGGAGGAATAATTTACTTTTCAACAAAAGCAAATGAAAAACATAAAACCCTGAAAAAAGATTAAGGGAAAAGCCTCATTCCTGTCAAATATTTTCATAAACACAGTGGGTGAATTTAAATAGTTCATCCCGGTTTTAGAGGTCTGACCAATTCCAATTATATTCCCTGTATGTAAAAAGAGGAACACCGTTGGAACTGGTCAGACCTCTAAAATCAGGGTGGACTTTAAGTGCACCTGCTGTACTATATCAGGTTCCAAAACTCATATGTTTTCTTTATTTAGGAGAATGAGCCCAAATATTTGTTGTCTTTGTAAGCTATTCAGAGAAGACGAAAATGGGATCACTTCTAAGTAAGTAGTACTATAATTCTGCAGTCACATAATCCTACAAGATATGAAGGGATTTAGCCTCCTGACTAAAAGAGTCAAGAGGGCTAACGATACAATTTAATGCTGAATATTTACCCATGCATGTTGTCCTCATGGATGCACATATATTGATCACCTGTTATTCATGCTGTTGCTTCACAGTAGAACAATTTCAATATATTTGCATTGTCTTTAGGCTGTGAGTAACCGGATTGTTTTAATTTGAGCTGTTCAGACATAGACATCTTGGTCCAAGTTCACCCCTGGTGTAACCACTGAAGTCAATGGAGCTATACCTGGGATGAATTTAAAACAGGATGTTTCGGGTTTGTTTTTGTTTGTGGTTTTGTTGTTGTTTGTTTGTTTTTTTAAACTCAGCCCCACTGCCAGATGATGAAAATGTGTGCCTTATGCTACCATTTGTCTCAGCTGGACAGGTTCTCCAGCCAATTTATGTTTCCCATGATTCCATAAATTCCTATGTACACTACAACTGCTTAGCAAGAGAAGAGATTGTGGTGCTTGAGAACCAGGGAGCCCAGCCCACAGAAGAGAATTGGGGCATGAGGCAATCGAACTACAGCTCACATGAAGTACCACAATGGCATTTCCAAACTGAAATCGTTCAGCCCAAAATTTCTAGTTTTTGATTTTTCAGTAAAGTCAAGTTTTTCTGTGTGGAAAAAAACAAACACCAACCAGCTCTCCTTAGCACTTTGCAAGATGGTGGGAGATAAATGGATTTTAAAAGTGTACAAATAATATATGAGAATCCAAAACAACCTCACTAAGCCAGTAGTCTCACTACTAGTAGTAGTATTTATTCTTTTTATTAAAGTAGCACATAGAAGCAACAAGCAAGATTGGGACACCATTATGTAAGACACTGTACAAACACAGTGAGAGATTGTAGGCTCATCAGGGCAGGGACTATCTAAATACAAAAAAACAGAAAAAGGTTGGAAGGGAAAACAAATCAAGTGACTTGCCCGAGGTCACACAGCTGGTCAGTGGCATAGCGGGAAATAGAAGCCATGTCTCCTGATTCCCAGTCCTGGGCCTTCTGAAGTGGACCATGGTCCCTTAAGTACTTTGTCTTTTCTAGTTGTGCAGTATACATTGGATAGTGGAGACATAACCAGTTCTTCTCCCTCTCCATAAGGATTCTCACTGCAGCAGATCCTACTGATACAACTGAGTAAGTGGGGTTATAGTCAGAAAAGTGGGGAACAAACATCTTAATAGTCCATACTCATTTTCCCCTCAGTGACCTCCATATATTTCCTCAGTTTACAGTAAAACATCATCTTCCCTAAGCGTTAACTTACCCATGGAAAGTAACTAAAAACAGGCTGTGTTTGTTCTGCTTCACAGATTAACACTAGAGGCAAATATTCAGAAATGGAAATAAAATGACAGTTTTGATGGTGCTCAGGGAGACAGACAAGAACATCATTTATTCTGTATAAGAGTGATAATGCTGACAACAGTAAAAATGTGTCTGTGTCAGTAACAGCAGATATGACTCAGAAGCAGCTCTATCAACGAATAAGCATTCACAGGAACAAGATGCAACTTTTGCAGAGCCACCTCTCTTCCCATAACCACACACTTCAAGTATTTATGTAAAGAGGAGGTCAGTTAGACATGAGAAAATCCCTGCTTGAACAAGAACCAAATGTGTGACCAGAAATTACGAAAGAGCTGAGACCACAGTTTGGTGGTTGCAAAATTTCTACCAAATATAGGAGTTCAATCTATCCAGAAATGTGCTGAGTAACTGACATTCATTTTTCTGCCTAGAAAAGAAGATAGGCTTACGAACAGTAAGACATGGCAGTGGTGTCCTTCCTAGAATTATATCAAAACAAACCTAAGAAATCACCTAAACTACAAAACCAGCAAACAGCTGCTGTGCAGAGCAGGCTTACAAATCAATCCTACTAGTACCCACTATCCACAAACCAATACTGCTTTTAATCAAATATGGATTATTCTTGAACTTTATGGTAATTAAGTGGCTTTAGTTGGGATTCAGTAACTGATGCCAAAATGGAAGGACCAAGGGAGAATGAAAACTCCCTCTCCAGTTTGATTAGAGCCTAATGAACTACAATGCACTTTTTCTCCAATCTCTTACATGGACATGAACATTTAGCATAGGCATTTCTTTCAAGTTACCAGTGGTAGGATACTAAAAATTATAAGACCCGGAGACACAGGTGGTATATTTAAAGTTATGCGGATTTACACCCGTGCAAGATCTGGCCCTTAGAAGTTTATTTTTCTTCAAGATGTTTAGTTCTCTCTGATCCCTCAGTCTTTCACAGAACTGAGAGTTAAGAGAATAAATGCAAGACCCCTAGAAAGCCAGGAAATTGCCACGTAAGAACAAGCATAGAAGAAAAACAATCCATTGTTAGTCACCTCTAAGAATCCTCTTGATTAGTAATACTGTGATTAATTTTAAAGTACAAACAAGTAGGGAATTAAATGGATTTAGTGTCTTTTGCAGTCATGATTCTATTAGTCTTTCCATCATTTATCAGCTACAGTAGAACCTCTCAGTTATGAGCACCAGAGTTATGAACTGACCATCAACCACACACCTCATTTGGAACTGGAAGCATGCAATCAGGCAGCAGCAGAGACAAAAGCAATACAATACAGCACTGTGTTAAATGTAAATTACTAAAAACAAATAAAGGGGAAGTTTAAAAAAAATTTGACAAGGTAAGGAAACTGTTTCATTTAAATTAAGATGGTTAAAATCAACATTGTTCTTCTCCATAGTAAAGTTTCAAAGCTGTGTTAAGTCAATGTTCAGTTGTAAACTTTTGAAATCACCACCACAGCGTTTTGTTCTGAGTTAAGAACAATCTCCATTCCCGAGGTGTTCATACTACTGAGGTTCTACTGTACAATGTTCAGAGCTCAACCTTTCAGCTGATGGTAAATGTAGAAGGTGTTGAGAAGAAAAAAGTTTTTACATTTTTTGTTATCATACTCAGTCCCAAGGGACTTTAATAATAGTACCTAACATTGCAGTGGCACCTGAAGTCCTAAACCACAGCAGGGTCTCTAGACACAAATCAACCCTACATGATCATCCCTGCCTCAGAGAGCTGACAATCTGAACTGTTAATGCTGTCTTTATTATTCTCCCATTCTGAAGTACTGTACTGCACTGCCTACACGCACAATTTCCATTGACTTCAAAGGGAGTTGTATGGGTGTAATTTAGTGCAGAACTGGGTCCATAGTTATTGCAAGTTATGTTTTTTTCAAAACTGTAAGCACGGGATCTGAGACATCCAAAAAATGAACTTGCAGAGAGCAAAATGCATATAGAGGCATTGAATTATGTGACTGGATTTTAAATAATGAAATTTAGCTTTATTTTTAAACCTAGCATTAACCACGCAGTTAACTACAACTCTAATCCCACAATAACCTTTCCCCCTTTTGCAAAGAGTGTCATTGGAGGAAGTGCTACAGTGGTCCCAATCTTTTGAAACGCTGATGACTACTAAATGTAAGTAGTTGTGTGTTTGTATGTTGTATGTTTGTACTCCAGCAGAGTTATTTACCAGCAGCTATCTAACTTTTTTTAGAAATGTGTGGCTAGGGAAAGCTTATGTGATACATTGGTATATCTCCATTTACTGTGTTTTATGGTTACTGACCTCCATTAAAGAGGAAAGTGAATGAAAAATTTTAATGCCAAATCAATCACCACGAATGCCCTTGATGCCCATTGCAATATAATTAGTCACTATGAATCCTTCTGAGAGATAAGTTAGGTGAAGTAATATCTTTTATTGGACCAATTTCTGTTGGGACACATTTTTGAGCTTCACCAAGCTCTTCCTCAGGCCTGGGGAATTAAATACAAACTGGGACAGACCATTAAGCATAAGGGATTCATACATGCTATAGGAGACCACTTAAAATGAAGTGGGCCATTAAGGGTTTAGCAGGCAGTAGGGTGTGTTACAAATTGTTGTAATAAGCCATAAATCCAGCATTTGTGTTAAGTCAGTGGTTTTTAAGTAAAAGCAGCAAAGAGTCCTGTGGCAACTTATAGACTAACGGACGTATAGGAGCATGAGCTTTCGTGGGTGAATACTCACTTCTTCGGATGCATTTTTAAGTGTTCAGCAAAGTTATGAATTTATGTTTCTAGGCTCATCTTTTAAAGGTGTTTCACAGGCTTCCTTTGAAGATAAGGACTGAGAGGTCAAACATGGAGTGATCACTTTGTAAAAAGTGTTCGCCCACGGGTCATAGGGCATTTTTATCTTATTTTTTGTGACGGTTCATTCAAGAGCATAGTGATTGGCTGATTTCACCCCTATAGTTGTTTTGGGACATCTGATGTGCTAGTTGAGGTACACCACGGGTTGATAGAGGCATGTGATATAGGAGCCATGAATCTTGAAAGGTGTGTTCTGGGGAGTATTGATCATTATAGCAGTGGAGATATGTCTGCAGGTTTGCACTTGTTATTATGGCAGGATCTGATGCCGTTTTGAGTTGGTGTGTCCTAGTCTGTAGGAAGCTTAGTGAGGTTGGAACATTGTTTGAAGGCCCGAAAAGGGGGGTTGGGAAAGATTTCTTTCAGGATGTGGTCCTGTAGCGAGGCAGTGGGATACCCCACAGCCCCGCTGAGGCCCGAACCTTCCCTAATCCCAATGCGGGCGGAGCCACTGGGTCTGGAGCCCGCCCCTCCGAGGTCACGGCCCCCCGACCCGGAAGTATAAAGGCCCGCCTGCAGAGCTCAGGAGAGCCCAGGCTGGCGGAGAGAGCAGACATCCGTGGCCAAGCTCCCGCTTGGGAAACAGCCGCAGGCTGCGACCGGCCTGCTGACTCACCGGGCCGGTCGAGCCTGCCCCGTGCCAGGTACCCCGAGGAGGACTGGCCAAGCATGCCCCGTGCCAGCTACCCCGAGGAGGAGCCGAGCCTGCCCCATGCCAGCTACCCCGAGGAGGAGCTGAGCCTGCCCTCCTCTACCTACCCAGAGGAACCAATGCTGGTGGAGAGCACCGACAACACTAAGACGGCCCAGGTACCATATGAGGGGGAGTGTGGAAGTAGCCCGGGGGCAGCCGACCCCAGTCTGGCTGCTGCACTGCCAGAGCCGATGTCAGTGTGTCGCGGCCAGGATCCCCACTGACAGCAACGAGTTTCCGTTGCTGCTAGGGCCCCGGGCTGGGACGCAGTGGAGTGGGAGGGCCTGCGTCCCCCCTGCCATCCACTCCTTGGGTGGCAGACTCCCCCTGTATCCCCTGGCCTAGAGAGGCTGGGTACCTGATTGACTATTTGTTTGCTGCCCCGCCCTGACCTAGGGCCTGGGCTGTCCCAAATTGATCCAGCCCCTGCTACAAGGCCTGGGCCACTGACAGACTAGTTGCTTGCTGCTCCGCCCTAACTTAGGGCCTGGGCTGCTATAGACTTTGCCTCAGCCCTTGCGTAAGGGCCTGGGTTTCAGACCTCTTGACTCAGCCCCTGCTTATGGGCCTGAGCCCCTAACTGTGTGCCTGTTGTCCCAGACGGCCACCGGACCAGAGCGGTGTGACTCCCCACAGCCCCGCTGAGGGCCAAACCTCGACTCTAACCTACTACAGGTCCCCTCAAGTCAGGGTTGTAGTTTGATGACACACCATGTGGATTCCAGTGTGGGGGTGGTAGGTGAAAACTAGGGGTGTATGTTCAGTGGGTTTTTTTGCCCCCGTGTATTGAAGCAGGTTCTCTCAAGGTATTTGGGTGACCCATTCCATGATTTGATCTATTTTGCTGGTGGCATGTCCTTGTTTGGTGAAGGCATTTATGCGCATATCGCAGAGTTTCTCCTCAGAGAAAATTCTGTGGTACCAGTGCCTGGCTGTAGATACCAGACTTCTTGCTGTGTTCAGGGTGGTTGCTGGATCCAAAAGTTTCTTGTATATAGTCATCTGTAGGGCTCATCATGGTGTCTAGGAAGTTGATGCTAGCATGGGAATGTTCAAGAGAGTTTGACGGTTGGGCAGTGGTGCTTGAAGTTCTGGAGGAAATCTATGAGTAAGTTTAGGTCATCTGTCAAAAGGCTCCATGTCTAGTTGGCAGCAACATAAACCCTTAAACATTATCCACACATTTCTAAATGCTACCATTGTTTTCAAATCTCAAAACATACTAAAACAGCAGCAAACTGCAAGAAGATTTGTTTATGTGATTAACACAAAAACTAAACATAAGAACATAAGAATGGTCATATTGGGTCAGATCAACCCAGTCCATCTAGGCCAGTATCTTGTCTTCCAACAGTAGCCAATGCCAGATACTTCAAAAAGAATAAACAGAACAGGGAAATTATCAAGTGATCCATCCCCTGTTGTCCAGTCTCAGAACATGGCAATCAGAGGCTAGGGACATCCAGAGCATGGGGTTGCATCCCTGGCCATCTTGACTAATAACCTATCCTCCATGAATTTATCAAATTCTTTTTTTAACCCAGTTATAGTTTTTGCCTTCACAACATCCCCTGGCAATGAGTTCCACAGGTTGACTGTGCATTGTGTGAAGTAGTTCTTATTTTTGTTTGTTTTAAACCTGCTGCCTACTAATTTCATTGGGTGACCCTGGGTTCTTGTGTTACATGAAGGAGTAATATAACACTTCCTTCATCATTTTCTCCACACTAGTCATAATTTATAAACTTCTATTATATTCTCCCTTCATCATCTCTTTTTCAGGATGAACAGTTCCAGTCTTTTCAATCTCCCCTCATATGGAAGCAGTTCCAAACCCTCAATCATTTTTGTTGCCTTTTTCTCTACCTTTTCCATTTCAAATAGATCTTCTTTGAAATGGGGAGACCAGAATTGCATGCAATATTCGATGTGTTAGAGTAGCATGGAAATATTTAGTGGCATTATGTTATTTACTGACTTATTATCTATCCCTTTCCAATGGTTTCCAGCATTCTGTTAGGTTTTTGCTGCTGCACATTGAGCGGATGTTTTTAGAGGACTATCCACAATGACTCCAAGATTTTTTTTTGGAGTGGTAACACCTAATTTAGGCCCAACCTATTTTATGTACAGTTGGACTGATGTTTTCCAATATGAATTAGTTTGTATTTATCAACACTGAATTTCATCTGCTATTTTGTTGCACAGTCTTGTGAGAGTCCTTCGTAACGCTTTGCAGTCTGCTTTAGACTTAACTATCTTGAATAATTTTGTATCATCTGCAAACTTTGCCACCTTGCTATTCACCTCTTTTTCCAGTTCATTTATTAATACACTGAAAAGTAAATCAGTCAAGGGCCAGATTGTGCTATAAAAGCGCAGCCTTTAGTGGGGGCAATATAGAGTATGACTGTGCAAGGGAAGATCTGGAATGCACTGTGCTATAGAGAGGCAGTTTAAAATTTCAGAAATCACACACAAGCAGCATGAGTGCTTGTAACCACCACCCTCAGCCTGTGGCATGCTGACATCACTTGCAGAAACCAGAAAACCCTGTGATCTGCATCACTGGAGAAAATTGCTTTTAGAATTAGAGAGTTATGAATCACTCACATTATGTAGATTTTGCCATTGATGAAATGTCTCCGCATTGCTCTCAGGTTGCTGCAAAGGGCCAAGTATACGAACTATGAGAAACTTCACTTGAAGTCAGTGAAGCTGCAACTGCTTATCCCAGAGCTATGTTGCTCTTAAAATATTTACCTACACTAGGTTTTACTGGAAAATATTTCTCACCATTGCTAACAAAGGTGCTACTCAGCAAGTGGTAACAATGGTTGAAACTTCAATGTTCTCATGGCTGCAGGCATTTTAGCCACTGTATCATCAAGCAAAAAGAACAGGAGTACGTGTGGCACCTTAGGGTACATCTACACTACAGCGGGGAGTCGGTTTAAGATACGCAAAATCAGCTACGTGAA